AATCACACAACTGATGGTAAAGTACTATGATTCACATCTGTAGCACGGTAATACTTCTAGTTTTAAGGCAGTGGCACCTGCACTGTTGCTTGTATTACACAATAAATACTCAAATTGTATGGCAAAACATTGTTCGACAATGTACTGTGAGAAAGTTATGTAATTTAGCTATGTTTGTTTTTCTCTCTAACTGTAATTGCTTTCTCAATTCGATTAAAAATATCGACGATATATGAGAATTAAGCAACTCCATATTTCTTCTTGAGAGACTCTGGCATCTCTGGTGGTGGTGGGCGTGGCATACGGAGCCACACTTTGACAGCATCATAAATGAACCATTGCGCTGCTGTCAATGTACCAATCATGACAATCCTAGGACCAAGACCCTTCCATACACCAGCGAAACCAAGCTTTCTCAGAACATCACCTGCCGATGCTCCCTTCTCTTGATTCAGTTTCGATACAACCTGTATTAATGAAATTTGTCATAGTAGTACATTAACAAAGTAAAATCAGAAGTCAGAGAAGACTTGTGTAAGGAATATACTTACGGAATCAGCGGGATGCGATACAATTGCACAGAATACACCGGCAATGTAACCTGCCGCGAAGGTGACAACCAATTGTTCACCCTTTGTGCATTCCATTCTTGGTTTGGGAACTACATATTTGTACAAGAGCTCGAGTGTACGCTCGAAGCAGGCGAACTTCATCATTGTGTATGGAATTTGACGGAGCCACAATGGTACCAGACCTTTGTAGAAGCCGCCAAGACCTTCCTCGCTATACATTTTGGGGAATGCTTCCCTCAAAGTATTTGCATACCCTGGCATAGTTTGAATCCTAACCTGTAGAAATAAGAGTTATATTTTGTGTATAACAAGGTATAGAGTTTATTGCACATTTAACAACACGTTAATTAATAGTTATTCCAAGGAACTTACAATATGTATGATATGCAGAAAGGTGAGGATCAGTAGGAACAATGTGAAGGAACAAAAGAACAATTCTGTCTTGTTTTGGAGGAGGAGTCACAGGAATGCACAAGTAATACGAGAATAATGTCTGTTAAGTTTTTTAAATCGTAACAGGGACAGTATCGATCTAACTGTTCTCTCTTTGAAAAATGTTAAGAAAGTTATTTATATTTGTAAGTATAAAAAATAATTGATAATTACTTTAGCTGCTTCAAGTGGAGCTAGACCAATATCGGCAAAGAATTCTGCAGATGCCGAAGAAACTAGATACAAACTTGTCCTATATTCATATGAAATTTCTTCTCCAGCCAAAGCTGAGTAATATACTTTGAAAACTTCGTAAAGACCAAATTTAAACATTCCTTGGGTGGAATAACCGAAAAATGTTGGGGCCCATCCTTTTGCCAAACCTCGAAAACCATCTTCGTTCAGTGTCACCTACATAAAAAAAGAAAAAGAAATGACAAGAACAAAAATAGGGTTTGTCATTTACATAGAATAGAATGTTGACATGAAAAGTAAATTATTATTTACCCTGAATCCATTGAAGACTGACTTGTACTTTGCAGGATCTACTTGAATTCTGCATTTCACCAAATCCAAAGGTGTGACCATGGTATGGGTGATACCGCATGATAAAATACCACCCAAACCGCATAGCATAAAATATTTGTTTGATGCAAATTCACAGCTATCTGTATATTAAGAAAATATTATTTCTACTGTAGCTCCAAACGTTCAATAAAAAAAGAAAAAAAATGAATTAACAAAGAAAGCATGGTACGAAAGAGTGAATTAATCGATAAAAAGTGCTGCCATTGATTAGTTGTACCTACGGAGGCAACGTGCGATATTCGAATTTGGCAAAGAGTCAAACTCGGCACGAATGACCGTACTACCTTGCTCTAATCCAATAATAAACCTTCCAAGTACACAAGGATATCTTTAATTGGTTTCTCGGTCGCGGTCACCGTACCAATATGCTATTATTTTTAATCAAATGTCAACCAAGGCTATAAGAACGACATTCAAACATGTATTTTCGACAAAATGGCGGCCCTTATGCAACCCTTCGTTAGTGAAGAGTTATTGAATGGCAGCAAATTTTCCACTATATTGCATAAAAGTAAAACGTCGTATATTTCATATCCATTCATAAAATTAACTTCTCCAATGATTAAAATAGCGTATCATTCGAACGACTGACAAATATCAGGAAATTTAAATAAAAATTAACAAATGTGCAACAAAATTCATATTCGTTATATAATTTGATTACATAAAATATGACCAAATTTTCTACTAAATCCCTAAGAATTTCGAATAGAAACTCTCGCGATTCTTAGATCCCTCGGTCGACAAAAAATTCGAATCTGCAGCGTTTCTAACGCAGACTTATGCATATGATATTTCAGATTATGTAACAACGTAAATCTAACTGAAACTGCTTGAAAAAGCAATCGCACATTTTATGTTAATTAAATTGCCGTTTGAGAAATAGGTGTCAACGTGGATGACAATTTTTTGTTAGCATGCACAGTTAGAGCAGGACGATAGATCCAAAACTCAATCGTCGATTAGTTCGCATTAAATGGAATATTTTATGTGAAAAATCATTGGAAATTACTGACCACCTGTGTTAGCGGATGCCATCGCAATATTACGGTGCTTAACCAACGGCTGTGAGATCTCGTTCTGGCCCTGACATTTGGCTGTCACGAAAAGGTTCGATTTGGCAACGTCCAGTATTGAGGGCCACATCTTGTTTCTGACACTTTACCTGTGCACACCACCAGAGACTGATAATTTCTGTACAATAATTATATTAGGCTAAACTACTGACTACAAAACCTTCAAAGGCACGACTCTCGCCTCCGAGATCTGGGAAAAGAGTGACAGAGACTTTAGTAACAGAATCCGTTTAGTGACATAGTCCATCGGTCAATATTTTATAGATGACATACCAGCAGTGATAAAAAACCGCACCGATTTCACTTGCCACTAGATGGCTACAAATGAGAATAGACTGTAGCTAATTGGACTACTTATTAACTGTATTCAATTATATTTATCAACTAGCTATTAAATAAATAACGAGGGATTTTAATAATATGAATAAATGTACATACCAACCGTAGATTTCGTATAATAAAAATGACAATCTATATCATGGTTTCTCTGTCGGTAATGAAGGTTCTTTTGGCACCATAAGATTTTTAAATTTCACAAACTGTAACAATTATTTACTTTTATACGTTTTGTTTTGCATATGAGATTAAAAAACAACGTTTCGTTTTCTTATTGTAAAAGTAATACGAAATATGTACAAAAATTACAGTAATTTGTTTATATTCGTTGCATCAGTTGTACATTAAAATGGCGCATCTGTTTGAAACATTTTCTATGACTTTGTTGTGGTCAGAGCACATTCGATTTTTATTTACACGTTTTTAATTGTGTAAAATGATTTCTGCACTTGCCACTGTACGGAGTTTGAAAAATATCACAAATAAGCTTCCGGTATTTCTATATCGCAACAGAAGTAACGGATCATCGGTTTCATGCAACGAAGCGACAGACACAACAGCTGATCCAGACTTGGTAAATATCTCATTGTGAACTATAATAAAATTTATAATTTAGGAAATTAATCAATTGTTATTTAATTGTCATTAAGATTTTGTTAGTAGAATGACACTAATATCAGGCAATTCTTTCACAGCCGTCAGTTTTTGAAAATCCATATACAAGAGAAAGAAGGTTATGCATTTTATGTAAATTAAAAATAACTCCAAATTATAAGAATGTACGTTTGTTATCTCAATTTCAAAGCCGTCATACAGGTAAAATTTATGGAAAACATATAACTGGTTTATGTGACCATCAGCAGAGAAAAGTGGAAGAAGAAATTGTAAAGGCACAACAAGCTGGTACATCTATCATTTTAATGTATAATTTGTAATAATTTTGTACATATTATGAATATATTCTTTTATATTTCAGGTTTAATGGGATACATGACAAAGGAACCAAAATTCTTTGATGATCCAGAACTATTCAACCCAAATCGTCCCCTTAAAGCACATCCCTATTAAATCTGAAATATATTATGGTAATGAGCTTCATTCTTTTATAATATGATGTCATCTGTAATATTTGTAATATAGGTATTATCTGCTTAATAAATGTATCTGCTATGTATTAATATTATGAGTAAATTAAGATTATGTTATTAAGTATTTGTATCTTTCTTCCATTAAGTACTTAATAGACATGCTCAATAGAATGTATCGTCATCAGGGGAAAACCGAATTACTTTGGGATCTATTCCAAGTGAAGATAAAATGTTCATTATGCTCACTGATTCCCCATTTTGTTCTTTCCAGTCATTTTGATAATCTTCAAGAGCAGTTTGACAAACTTTCGTCCATTTCTCTATAGCATTTTCTAAATCTTCAGTTTTGTTCTTCGAACAAAGACATACTATTTAAGTAATAAGTAATAGAAGCATATTATTTGTTTAACATTGTTTTTACCTTTCTTTTATATAGCAGTGTTGTTTTTAATTGATTGATGGCTACTTGCTTTTCTCTTATTCGTTTTCTTAATGTTTCTAAGTCATCATGACATAATTTTTCATTCTGTTCAACATCTGATTGATCTGCAGTTTCTACTGTACTTAGTCGTACTTTTTTAGTAGGAGGTATTGGAAAAAGTGATTTTCTTGGCACAGAAACCTTCCTATTTTGAATTTGTAAAATAAATAGAAAATTATATAATAAAAACAAATGTTGGAAAACATAATACAATATTATTACTTACATTGATGTTACAGGGGTGCTGGATTTTGGAGTATTTACATTAATTTCAGTGTTTTTGTTTTTGGGAGTACTAAATGGAGAACGAAATGGTTTATCTACACCTTTACTGTTTCTATATGGTTTGGTACTCATATTTCTGAAAATAAAATAGGGTTTAAAAGAAAGAAAATTTTAAATAAAAACATGATATGCTTACATATGATAAAAATTTAAAGTGTCTGAATTTAAATTGATTTCCTCAAAAAAGTGCAACATACGCGTATATTATAGATTATTTTATTAAATTTAAACGTAACACGCATTAATATTTTATTCGTTTTTGTGATACATATTCCCACGATATTTTGAATATAGTAAGTATATATATATATATATCTATTTTTATATACTATTATTTATATTAATTTATATTAATAATAACAAAATTCTAATTACTCATATCTGAAAAGTGGATATTTTAATTTTCAAATACATTTAATAGAAAAACAAATATGTTTATAATTAACTGTAAAAATCGTAACATCAAGTTTCCAATCTACTAGCATGCACACGCGGTGATTCGTTGTTGTACTTAATGTATTCTAACCTCTAAACACCACTGACGCCGATTGAGTATAACAGCTACAGTACTCAAAAAGTATTATTATTTATTACCTTAATATTATTTGCTCGGTTTATTTTTTATGTTTATAGTGTATCATGTTCATTTTGTATGATTACGCTTGATCTAATGATTTGTTAATATTGAACATTTTTAGTATTAATTAATTCAAAGTATTTGTTATATTAAATTTCTTTTCTTTCCAGTGGCCATGGATATTAGACCGAATAATACGATTTATATTAATAACTTGAATGAGAAAATAAAGAAGGATGAACTTAAGAAATCCTTGTATGCAATTTTTTCTCAGTTTGGTCAAATATTAGATATTGTAGCCTTAAAAACATTAAAAATGCGTGGACAAGCATTTGTTATTTTTAAGGAAATAGCTAGTGCAACAAATGCATTAAGATCAATGCAAGGATTCCCATTTTACGACAAACCAATGGTAGGTATTGGTCAAATAATAATTGTGAAATATTATTTGCCTAATAACAAACAATTATTGTAACTATTTAATTTTCAGAGGATACAATATGCAAAAACTGACAGTGATATAATTGCAAAAATGAAAGGCACCTATGCAGAACGACCTAAGAAACCAAAACGAATTGTTCCTGCGGCTGATGAAGAAGCTAAACGTGCTAAGAAGAGAGCCAAGGAACAAGCCAAACATTCTCAACAAATTGGTTATCATGCCGGTGTACCGCAACACCCAGGTTTAGTCAACACTGCTGTACCAGAACAACCACCAAATCAAATTCTATTCCTTACAAATTTGCCAGACGAGACTAGTGAAATGATGTTGTCTATGTTGTTCAATCAATTTCCTGGTTTCAAAGAAGTACGTTTGGTGCCAAACAGGCATGACATTGCATTCGTTGAATTCGAAAATGAAGTTCAATCGGGAGCTGCAAAAGATGCCCTTCAAGGATTTAAAATCACACCTTCTCATGCAATGAAAATATCTTTTGCAAAGAAGTAAACTACATAATATTATAGTGAATATGGAAATGTTATTAAGGAATGAGCAAATGTGTGTGTTGTAACTGAACTATTTAGAAATGTATGCAACGCGTAATCAATCTTGAATGAAGATTTGAACGTATAAACCTGAAACATACCATTTACATTCAAGAACATTACATGTACAAAATTTTATGTAATGTATACATATATACAAAAGTACACATTGTAAATAGGAATTAAAAGATATATAACATTTTTCAGAAATACATCCATTATATGTGACTATTTTTTCTACTTAATTATACTTCCAATAATTGGATGTGGAACATACAAATTTTCTATTATAGAACGAAAAGTATAATGATAACTGGTAACAACATATCAAGAGATACTGTTTTCAAAATATGTTTATTCATTATACATTGTACTGACACTTAATAGATGTAGATTATTTACGAAACTATATTGCATACTTTTTATAAATGGATACAAATTTATTAAATTGTACTGCAAATTGTTATATGTTGACTGAACAATTGTAACAGTTGCATATAAAATAGAAAATTATTCGTACTTTCACAAAAAGAGAGATTTAATCATTAATAGGATTTTGAAATAAATAGATGTAAGTTTCCTTTAATATATTATTTTTTAATAGAATAAATTCTGTTTATAAAAATGTTTAACGACAAATATTCTTAGAGCGATACGTATTTTCTGAAGAATTATTTTTGCGATTCGCAAAAAATACAAATTTTCGAAAATTATTTTCCTTCAGGGAGGTGTAGCAAAATTTCAAAGCAGAATATATTTTTTAAATAATAATTTCTTCCAATAATAGCATCGATTCGAAAAATCGTCCAAAAAATTCAGTTTACCTACACACGTTCTCCAAAAAGAATTTCAATATTTCGAAAAATGAACAAAAAGATTTTCCTAAATTAAAAATCGTTCGTTTAAGCTCTATATTTGAATGTCCATTGTACTTAATCTCCACAGTTTCAGAAAATCATCCGAGCGTTCCCATTCCAGAGCGAAGCTAAAAATGAAACCCTTCGGCAACATTTGCATGCCACTATGGCCATTTCCCCGCCAAATTACTAACGGTCCAGTTTCAAAACATCAAGCCACCGCCACCGATTCATTTAGAAATTCGTCGAACAAAAAAAAAAATTAATCGTGGAAGATTTACCGACCGTCAGTGGTGTTCAATGGGATTCCGAATAATTCTTAATAAATAATATAATTTTAAGCAGCATCGTATACATTTTGGCGGGAATCAGTTGGCGCGTTGTATGGGGAGTGGGAGTATGTTTCTTGGGGCAGCAGGCAAATCGGAGTACAGTGCAGCGTCTCTGTTAGATCATTCGCGTCTCTCTATTCGCGCAGTGTATTGTATACGAGTCCTTGCTTACGGATTGCTTATGGGGTACAGCTTCGAACGATAAACGCGCGGGATAATATCAGAGACGTTGAGAAGATAAAAGTTCGAGTATCTCGAGTCCAGAGATAAATAGCGAATATTTTGATACAACATAACCGGCCCAAGCCCGGTTTTTTCTGATCGCGGCACGCACACCGGCTGGACGGCCGCCTTTGTCTCCGTATACACGAGAAATTTTAGGTGAGTGTCTCTACCAACATCTTCTCGTGCCGCGAATAGTTGATTTATTCGTCGAGCACCGATCGTCCGTTAGAGCGGAATACCGGATATATTGTAGAGAATAATTTTACCGATTTTTCGGCGGTATTTTCGGCTGACACTGGCTGTTACTTACAGAGATATTTATTCGTTTATTCACTAGATGCCAAATGGATCTCTGATGGACGCTAACCGCAGCTCTGGCGTTGCCATGATTTGTCGATTATGGCGTCCTTAGACGCTAACTGACGCTTTTAGATTTGCTTTCGGTATTGTCGCCTATGCATACTATTATCGTCGAATATTAAAGTACGAGTGAGAATGCTGTTTGTTCAATGTGATTACACGGCCTCCTTTGCGATTATTACCGCGGGAATTGTGATAATAGACGGGGTGGTTGATATTTTTGAAAATGGCGGGCGCGGAAATTTCAGAAAGCATTCTCTTATTTTTGTAAATAATCTGAATGAACCGAGGGGATTGCGTTTAGCGATCCCGTTGCTTAATGACGGCTGATCGGATTGTTTGCGCGTTGAAATATTAATTCGCCGATGAGTTCAATTACCGTTGGATAATTAATGGTTCGATCGACAATTAGAAGATAGCCGGTTGCAAACCCACGTTTAACGATATTCAATACAAATGCGTATGTTAGGCGCGGAATTCGTTGGATCCGGTCAAACTCGATTAATCCATTCAATTGCTTTCTACGAATTTGCAAGGTGATACACACGGATTTTTGATCTTTCTGTTATCAAGTTACCACTGAGAATTGGACTTGAATGGTTTTACTTGGCGGTTTGAAGATCGATAACCATACGATATTTTCTGTGCTTTTATTTATATTTGCACATTCATTTTTTGCCTTTTAAAAATGTTTTATTGCTAGAATTTGTGGTTTGAAATTATACCTTATTTTTCCTACCAAATAATTCCAAAGAAATTATGTACTCATCAGTGATATTCCATTCTGTTATTAATGTTTGTACAGTTAAAAGAAATGTTTTTTTTCTTTTACAGTGGCATAAAGCAATAAAAATGTCAGATGAAAACTCATCCATCGTCGAAGAACAAAAGAAGAAGCGAGGCAGGCCTTCGAAAACAGATAAAAATGCAGTCAAGGAACCGAAGAAGAGGGGGAGACCTGCCCTAGACAAAAATAATGCCATGCGTGCTGCGAAATCTGATAATGAGGATGATGCATCTCCCACACCTGTGAAAAAGGCCAGGGGACGACCAAAAGGTTCTCACAAAAAAAAGGTATAGTGTAACCAACTAAATTTTATTTCTTTATCGTTTGTTTTTCACATTGACAGATCATCTATATTGTCGAATATTATTTAACTTGCAGCAAGGATCTCCCAAAGTCCCTTCAGGAAGGGGTCGCGGAAGACCAAAAAAGAAAGAAGAGAAACCAGAAAGCACTGGTGAAGAAGAAGATGAGCAAGAGGAGGAGGAGGAGGAGGAAGAAGAAAATTGAATATGATACAACAATTTTAATGTAACAATCTTATTCTTTGAATGTTTTTGAGAAGCTGATAAATTTAAAGATTTTATGTTCGCTTTTTACGTCATAATCTGCAGAACAGAATAGTAAAAACGTTTAATTTATGACAATTATATCTTAAAAGAAAAAAGAGAAATATGCACATAAAACTTGCGTTAAGAATACACATTCACTTTTCTTATTGGTACATCTCTTTGTTTATTATTGAAATTAGAGTGTATTGGATCGTTAAAAGAATTTTAACATTTCTGATCTCATGCATTACTTTTTAAGTAAGTGAAACGAACAAATTTTCCTATATGTGACGAAATATGTTAATTGCCTCTTTTATTTACTTGTTATCATTTTTAGAGTTAAAATTTATTTAACAGACTCGAAGAACGTTAAAATTAAAGCAAAATAAAAAATGAAAAACTTTGAATATATCATATACAAAGATTACTCCTTTCAATTACACTTGAATATGTGAACATTAACATTGTTCTTGAGGCAAGCATATGTGTGAATGTCAAATTTGTATTAAAGTAAATAAACTTGTAGAGTGACTCTCTTAACTCCTGTATTGTATACATATATTCTGTTTTCCATTATACACTTTATATGTCAGATAAAATGGTTATAACTCTGATTTTTGTAATTAGATTACACGTTTAAAAAGATACTCTAAGCATTTTAATTAAATCTTAAAAATTATAATTAAAATTGAGTTTTTTTTCTATTATATTACTTGTCTACTATAAACAATAAATAATCCTTCATAATTAGACCCTCTGTTAATTATCCTACAAAATGGTTTTCCTTCATTGTGAAAGGAGAGAATAGTCAAAAAATTGGAAATATCTGAAGGAGTACTTATTGCCTTTCTATTATATTTACATTGTCTAGTTTTATTTTTATCTTCAGATCTGTGTAATATTTAACATAGCTAAAAAATTTTATTTAACTGTGTTATGAACAACATTAAAAATTTTGTTACACTAGTGT